TTTATGTTGAAAAAGACGAAAATGCCCTTACAATTTTTTTAGATTTCGACATGTCTTAAATGGAGGGGTAACTGGCGTAATGATTTTTGGTACTAAAATAATAGTCATAGATGAAAATTGGTACTAAAACAACAGTCGTGGATAAAAATTGGTATGAATTAAACATGTGGACCAAAAGCGTTATTTTGCTAATACTCATGAGATCAAAATTGATATTTGCTCCGATAGAAAATGTTAAAAATGACACTTTGTTCTCTAACCTACCCCAAATTGGCGAGCCTGAAAGGGCATTTTGATCTCTTTCGAGTTACCTCTATACTATTATTTTTAATTTTCAACTTAATGACCAATAATCACAAAGCAACATAACTGCCCAATTTGACTCAAATACTATCATAATAATATCTTCATTATATCCATGCAAACCATTTAACCAGTTAAAATAAAAAGAAAAAAGAAACAGAATTAACATTAATTGGTTAATAATGTTGTCATTTTCCTATATTAGGAACCGGTTAAGATGGTATCCAATTAAGCTAAGCAACTCTACAATGCTTGATTGCGATGGGGTGTTTGGTAAAAATTAATTTAATTATAAATTATGCATTAGGTAACACTTTCTAATAATTTATAAGCAAGTTGAAGATAATTATAAATTATTTACCATCTCCTTTAAAAAAATAATAATAATAATTTACCATCTATATATAATGAGAGTCATAATTACATAGTAATATTAATTTTGTTAGTACAATTTAAGACACCAACACGAGAAGGTTATTATATTCGTATTAGTGTGCCCAAAACATCAAATCATCTCAAGATTGATTCAACACCAAGGTGACACGTACAATACATAACGCTATTATCAATAAATGAAAATATCAATATATACTCCGTAACATTTAATTTTTTTTTTCTATACAATAAAATGACATGCACACTAAAAACTATACAGGTCACCCAACACAACCAACTAATAATCATCGTATTGTGTGGACTATGATCCATCTAGCAGTGTAGACCATGAATGCAATATATATTTTTAATATACTAAAAATATATTATTTATGTACTGAATGTATATTATTTGATAATATAAAAAAAATCATATACTTTCAAATTATGTATTTTTATTATATTAATAATATACTTTTTATTTGTGATTTACACAAATATGTAGATCATGGTCCATGAAATAATGATTGGACATAAGCGATGTCGTTTTCTTGGGGGTGAGTCGAGCGTCGACTGAGGCCCACTTTTCCGTCCTTATAGTGATTCGATGTGGTCTAAAAGTCAAAGGATCTCAACAAACCATGTCTAAATTTCCTTCTTGTTTGACTTCTAACTTGTGGCTACTGTTGACTGAAACTCAACCCCTTCAAATCCGAGCCTCAAAAGCAACAAAAAGCCTTACGAATTTGGGCCAAAGCAATCCTCACCCATGAAAAATATTGTCATTTTAGATTTTTATTAATTGCGCGTGTAATAAATTTATAGATTGAAGTGATGAGCCAAGTGTTATATATGGAACGTACAATGATCGCAAATTATGCCATGGAATCGTGTTCACCGAGAATGGTGAACACAAGGCAAAACGACGTCATTTTTAGGCAAAAAAAAAAAAAAAATCGTGGATGTGGAGTTAACGGCGCGCGTTTGACCAAATTATGAATTTTCTGTTATGAGATTATGAATTTTATGAAAATTCATAATCTCATAACAGAAAATTCATAATCGCATAACAGAAAATTTATAATCTTGACAACTGAAAATTCATAATCTCATAACAGAAAATTCATAATCTTATAACAGAAAATTCATAATCTCATGGTTCCAAAGTGAATGTGTAGGCATGGTTCCAAAGTGAATGTGCAGGCATGGATTCATAATTTATGAATGTCCGTGATTTCGGACGGGAATATGTAGGCATGGTTCTAAAGTGAATGTGCAGGCATGAATTCATAATTTATGAATGTCCGAAATCTTTGTTCACCTCAAATTAAAGTGAAACCGCAAAATGTGAAAATAAAGAAGAAAAGTCACGCAATTAATTAAGAAAAAAAAAAAGAAAAGATAACGGTGTACTAACACCGTTGGATCCGTGTTCACCATGAATGGTGAACACGGTTCCATGGCATAACGTCCCTACAATGATGGGATTTATATTATCCTTGATTTAGAATATAATAATGAAGATGATGAGCTAGGATAATAAAAGAACAATTAGATTAATTTAAAGTGATTGGATTACCTTACTTAGATAAGAGTTTTAAACCTAGATCCATTCTTACTTCAATTTTGAAACTCTAATTGATCTTATAATTTCTTTTGCGATTAGTTAATTTGTTGTAATTGTCATAGTGATATATATATATATATATATATATATATATATATATATATATATATATATTTTTTTTTTTTTTTTTTTTTTGTGACTGAAAACAAATGAAAATTGTAAAATCGTATTGGTCTGCATAAGCTTGTGTATATGAAATTTTGTAAAGCATTTACCTACTCGATCATTAGTATTTGGCGTGCAACAAGAGGTGAAAAGTTGGTGAACCAAGATTAAACTAATTTGTCTAATCCTAATGTTTTTGCTTTGAAATCCATAGGAAATTTAGATTAAAATAATAGTAAAAAAAGAGGGGTGGACCGGTGGACCAATTTAACAATACAGATTTGGCCATTGTTTCAAACCAATATGACCCAGATGGTCCGTCGTCGTATTACTATATATATATATCAAATACTAATAAGTAAAATAAATTTGTGTAGGAGTATGTGTTTCAAAATGTCTGCACCAAAATATAAGTGTTTGATAAATTAACTTTTTGTAACTTCGAAATGTTAAAATTTAAAAAGCTGTTCAAATCAATCTTTTCAATTAGCTTTTTGAGAAAAGAAATTATACCGAACAACTATCAGCTAACAGCTAATTTACTAAACACCTTTCTACAATTAGCTAATCGCTATCAACTAACAATCATTTACCGACCTATAATATAGGTTCGAGCATTGGTAATTATCGTGGGAATGAGTAAATGCATTACTCACCTACCCTAACGAAGACTTACTCTTTGAAAGGGATCATATATATATATATATATATATATATATATATATATATATATATATTTGTTACTGTCATATGATTTAAGAAGAGTAATGCACCGGTCCAGGCGACCCTTTTCTTATAACATAATTCTCATTTTAGAAAGTCATAAGTTCGACTATTGTATGTTAATATATATATTTTTGATCAAGTTTGTTATACATGGTCTTTTTTAAGTGCAATTTACTTTATTTGCGTTGTTTGTGGGCCGATTATTACACATGAACAATGTTTGTTAACATACACCTTTAAATAGTAATTACGTATATTTTTCGTCATTCAAAAAAAAAATGTAATCCATTCTACTTTTACTTATCAAAACAATTGCAATGATGTTTCGACATTGAAATAATATTTCAACCATATATAAGATTTTCCTTTCCATTAATTGACAAATCACAGAAAACAACAGACAAAAGTTGTTTTTTTTTTTTTTTTTGAAAACCAGACAAAAGTTGTTATAAACGTTGCAGTTGCAAATTCTCAAGCTTCCCATTCAAATAGCTAGCCATCCATATCATATCATACAACCACCAATAAATATGTTACAATAGGTGATACCATTTTTTCAAATGAGATAGACACACAAATGAACTATATTGACCTTGGTGGAACCCCATCCTCACCAACCCATATTTTTATTAATTTCTTCCACAAATCATTTGCAACTTGCAAGTGGATTCTGATCTGCAGCCTATATACTATATATATTATCATGTCTGAATTTCCCTTTTTTGGATATTAATTTAAGATGTTATGTTTTTCTGATAATGAAAAAACACGTAATTACTACATTAAATAAACGTCATCACTTATAGATCGTCTCATGTATTATTTTTTAGCCATTAATAATATGGTTGTATGTCATCTATCACATTTTATGGATTATGATTTCTATCTTCTTCTAGTAGGAAGATAGGTTATGATCATGATTGTCAACAAATTAATGTTAAAGAACTTAACTTTATCAAGATACGTAGACAACTTAATCATGGTAATTTGATAATTAAATTAAATGCAAGTCCAAAATTATTTTTATTTTTAAATTTAAATATCTTATATAACTATTTAAAAAAATCAGAATGAAAAAATTCTTTAAAAATTTAATTATTGAATTTGGAGTATTTTAAGAATAGAAAATAGAATTTACCCAAAAAAAAAAAATTTAAAAATTATAACAGTTTGAACCAGTAGTTCAAACTTGAATTGTCGATTCCTCATTTTTCACAATCGGGAATCGTCAGTTAGGAACCAGAACCATGGTTACCCTAAGTCAGTTATAATAATCTTATAATATGTTGTTAACATGCTATAGAAGGTTAAAAAAAAAAAAGACTTAATTACATCATTCTTTCAAGTTCAATGGCTTATTTAATTTGAAACTTTTTAGAGTTTGATTACTGATACAAAGTTGAATGACTTATTTGAACCTTATCCCGATAAACGATTATATGACATTAAATGAAAGTATATATTTTTACCTGCATTAAATTAATAGTATCCAAGTTCCTGGGCCAACTAACTCATCGAAAACATATTATCCTCTCTTCTTATATATATGGCCAATAAGCTTTCTTGCAAATTATAAACTCTTCAATAATTATTAAACCACTTCTTCTCTTCTCTCTCTCTCTCTTCTCAATGTAAGATGTCGAAGAAGACAACAATGACCATTTCATCAGAAGTGGTTAACTAAGAATCCATCAACGCGGCTAATCCGAAAGAAACATTCAGCAACTAACGTTGTTAACTCACCAAACACTGCCTTCAATTCCCTTCCGACATTACATAATACATATATATATATATAGGCCTGCCTGCAAACAAAAAATTATTTCGACGCCTGAGAGATTCGAACTCTCGCGGGGAAACCCCATGTACTTAGCAGGCACACGCCTTAACCACTCGGCCAAAGCGTCTTAACAATTCTTTAACCTCTGCTAGTTCATAATTTCCAGGGTCCTGCGTTTCAGAAGAAGGAGTTAGAAATCCCAGAGATTATTGGAAGGGAAGGGGATCGGAAAAGATGGAGGGTCCGAGGCGGCAGGCGAGCCGGAGCATGAGCCGAAGTGGGAGCAGGGCGGCGTGGAACATGGAGGACGTGTTTACTCCGGTGCAGGCGCGGCGGAGCGTGCGGGGCGAGGAAGACGAGGAGGCGCTGCGATGGGCGGCGCTGGAGAAGCTTCCGACGTACGACCGTCTGAGGAAAACCGTGCTGAAATCTTTCGTGGAAAATAATGATCGGGACAGTAAGGTTGTCCACCAGGAGGTGGATGTACGGAACCTCGACGTCAACGTCCGACAAGAGTTCATTGATCGCCTCTTCAAAGTCGCCGAGGAAGACAATGAACGCTTCTTGAGAAAACTCCGAAACCGTATAGATAAGTAAGTCAATCCATACATACATTCTCAGAAATCACAAACAAAAGATAAACTCAGATCATGTGTTATGTACAGTTTCACTTTTTGTTACGTACAAAAATTATATTTCACCCACTAATTAATCATCACTTTAAGAAAAATTTATTATTATTATTATAGCTATGATATGATGGTTTGTTTTTTGTTTTTAAATTGATTCCCTTAATTATAAAGGGAATGGTTGGGTTGTAAGTTTGACTTGGGAATAGCTATCAACTTCTCACCAACTGAAAGATGTATACAGATCATCATTCTTCCATGACTTATTCAAGTGTGGGTTGGTAGTCATGCATGAGTAGTTGATCGACTAATACATTTAATTTCATCAGCAGATACGGCAATATATATATATACTTAGTTGACTCATTAAAAAAATAATGAAGATTGTTTTTATGAAAGATATATTATTGGCTGGTTAATTTGGAGGTTAAGAAATAATTAACTATGACTTAGACAACTGAGACTAGAGTGAATTAATTATATATGTCTAGCAGGTTGATTACATGTTTGTTAATTAGGTTTAATTATTGTTGTAGGGTTGGGATTAATCTTCCGACGGTTGAAGTTCGATACGAGCATTTAACTGTGGAGGCCGATTGTTACATCGGCGATAGAGCTCTCCCCACGTTGCCTAATGCGATGAGGAATCTTTTCGAATCAATTTTGGGCATTGTAGGTATTAGATTGGCCGAGAAGACGAAGCTCACTATCCTTAAAGATGCTTCGGGGATCATAAAACCCTCTAGGTATGATATATGATATTGATGTCAATCGGCACATTAAAAAAAAAAAACGTAAGTAGTGTTATGATGAACTTAATTATATTGCACATGTAGGATGACGCTTTTGTTAGGGCCACCTTCGTCAGGAAAAACCACCCTTTTGTTAGCCCTAGCTGGAAAATTAGACCCCACTCTTAGAGTAAGTTTTTATCACACTCTAATACTCAATCTTATATCTTCTACTTCAATTCAAAGTCATAGCACTTTGTATACTTTCATGTACCAACTGAAAGTGTTGGGAATGTGTATGTGGGACAGGTGAAAGGAGAAATCACTTACAATGGTCACCAACTTAGCGAGTTTGTGCCACAAAAGACTTCAGCTTACATTAGCCAAAACGATGTTCATGTTGGAGAAATGACAGTCAAAGAAACTCTAGATTTCTCTGCTAGATGCCAAGGGGTTGGCACACGATATGGTACACAATTATTTTATTTTCCCTTTTTTTTTTTGGTATAGAGAAAATTGTTCATTAATTTGGATAAAATAATAAATAAACTAAAAAAATAATCTTGTATGTAGAACTTCTAACTGAGCTTGCTAGGAGGGAAAGAGATGCTGGAATTTTTCCTGATGCCGAAATTGACCTTTATATGAAGGTAAAAAATTCAAATCAAATTATATTAAATTAATAAATAATAATTACCTTAATTATCCTTAAAATATTCTGATTTTTTTTTTTTAATGTTTGGCTTGTGTTCCCATTAGGCAACTGCAGTTGAAGGGGTCAAGAGCAGTCTTATCACTGATTACACACTAAGGGTAATTAATATCCATATTTTCTTTGATTTTTTAATTTTTAAAAAATTATTTCATAAAATAAAATATTAAAAATAATTGTGGCCCTTAAATTAAAAAAGTTTGACTTCATCCTGTATTGTGTAGCTGTAAGGGGTAACATGTCAACAGCAATCACTTTCCCATTTATATATTTTTTAATTTCTTTATTTTTTTATAACATGATAAATATAAAAATGTTTATAGTGGTGAGGGCCTGAGGGGTTGCCGCCGGGTAGGTAATTGGTATGTGCCTTTTTGGACGTTGGTGTCTTGCCGAACAACCTCTAATTTGCAATTAACTTATAACTATTGTTTTCAAAAAACTTATACACTATTAATTATGATTATAATTATAATTATTCTGGTGTTGGTGTACAACCTTTAATTTTATGAAATATATATGAATTATTATGATTTATATAATGAAAAAGAAAATGTAAATTGTATGCAGATTTTGGGACTTGATGTGTGTAGAGACACAATTGTTGGGGACGAAATGATACGTGGGATTTCCGGCGGTCAAAAGAAGCGTGTTACAACAGGTTTTCTTGATTTTTATTTTATTAAAAACATCAAAATTCAAGTATATTATAAATAATAATCACATTGTCACATAAAATTTCTTTTACGTATATTATGATTTATATTTCTTTTAAGATTTAATTTGTGAGTGATTATATATGTAAGATTTAGTGTATACTTTTAAATATTAATTTTGAATTTCTCTCGTCACTCACTATATATATATATAATACACAAATAATCTTAATAAAGAATTTGAAAATAAGTAATGTTTCTGTTGACCCAATCAAATGTTAATACCAAACCCCACCTTCATTGGAAGGTGACAAGTTTGCAAAAAGTGAAAGCATTATGTTATAAATCATAACTTGGATGTGTAGTTGAGTAGAAATGATTCATCTCCAAACTAATTGTCTCAATCTTAATTGTTTAAAATTGACAATCTTAATTGTTTAAAATTGACTAGTTAAAATCGAAAAGATCAATAGATAACTCATATAAACGGTGAGACTTGAAACCTTGTAATTTTCAAATTAATTATAATTATACTTGATTTGTGAAGTGGGCTAAAAGTATTTGGGCATGGTGCAGGAGAGATGATTGTTGGGCCGACCAAAACTCTATTCATGGACGAGATTTCTACGGGCCTGGACAGCTCCACCACCTTCCAAATCGTAAAATGCCTCCAACAAATTGTGCATCTAACGGAGGGTACGATCTTGATGTCCCTCCTCCAGCCCGCCCCTGAGACGTTCGATCTCTTCGATGACATCATCCTCTTGTCTGAAGGCCAGATCGTCTACCAAGGCCCAAGAGCACATGTCATTGAATTCTTTGAGACCTGTGGCTTCAAATGCCCAGACCGAAAGGGCACTGCTGACTTTCTACAAGAGGTAACACAAACAAAAACAAAAAGTGTATAATAGCTACTACCGAGAGTGTGCATTGAATAAACTCCATTCCTGATCGACCTTAATTGACAAATGAACATAATAACGTAAAACAATTGTGCCAGTAAAATTAAATCGTCTTGTGACCCGACTTAATAGGTCTGATCAACTTGGTTAGATTGTCCTAATCTGCATGCATGCTTGCATGGTGTAATTAACTGCAGGTTACATCAAGAAAGGATCAAGAACAATACTGGGCAGACAGGAGCAAGGCATACAGATACATATCAGTCTCGGAATTCGCGAGAAGATTCAAACGTTTCCACGTGGGTTTGCGCCTAGAAAACGAGCTGTCTGTTCCATACGACAGATCAAGATGTCACAGAGCAGCACTGGTGTTCAAGAAATACACAGTCCCATTGATGGAGCTGATGAGAGCAAATTTCGACAAGGAGTGGCTGTTGATCAAGCGGAACTCTTTTGTGTACATATTCAAGACTGTTCAGATCATCATCGTCGCCGTCATCGCCTCGACCGTGTTCTTGAGGACCAAGATGCATACCAAGACCGAAGACGACGGGAGTGTGTACATTGGAGCGCTGTTGTTCGGCATGATCATTAACATGTTCAATGGCTTTTCTGAACTGTCTATGATTATTCAGAGGCTGCCTGTGTTTTACAAGCAGAGGGATCTCCTCTTCCACCCACCTTGGGCTTTCACTCTCCCAACTTTTCTCTTGAAGATCCCAATTTCTGTGTTTGAAACCATTGTTTGGATGGTCATAACATATTACACAATTGGATTTGCCCCAGAAGCTAGCAGGTTCTTTTAATTTACTGCCATGCATTTTTACCTTACAGTGTGTTGTTTTATGAATTAAAGTGACGATCTTTGCTATTATTTGTGCAGGTTCTTTAAGCAAACGTTGTTGGTGTTTCTGATCCAACAAATGGCTGCCGGAATCTTTAGGCTCACTGCTGCAGTGTGCAGGACAATGATCATAGCAAACACTGGTGGAGCTTTAAGTCTGCTGCTTGTGTTCCTTCTGGGAGGTTTCATCCGTCCTAAAAGTCAGTCCAACAACAAAATTAAAGAACATCATCGTAATATGTAGTTTCTGTTTCTTTGTCAGATTCATCACTAAGTTTTGGATGACTTGCAGGCTCAATACCAGATTGGTGGGGTTGGGGCTACTGGGTTTCTCCACTGTCCTATGGCTTCAATGCTTTCACTGTGAATGAGATGTTCGCTCCCAGGTGGATGAACCAAACGGTATAAATGCTTTCTGTTTACTCTTTAACATAATGAAACCAGGAAAATTGTTGACCGACCAATAAAAATGCTACCTGTTAACAGGCTTCAGACGGACAAACAAAACTGGGAATCAAAGTGATGCAGAATTTTGATGTCTTTGTTGAAAAGAGATGGTTCTGGATAGGAGCCGCTGCGCTTTTGGGGTTCATTTTTCTCTTTAACATTCTCTTCACCTTGGCCCTCATGTATCTCAGCCGTGAGTACTAAGTCTGAGCTAGCTAGGTTGAACATAACATGTGCAGACATGTTTTCATCACATTAATTGATTGAACTGAACTTGTGTTTTCTGACAACAGCTCCTGGACAGAAGCAAGCTATAATATCCAAAGATCAGGCTAAGGATATGGAATCTGAGCAGGAAGAATCTTCTCAATCTCCAAGGCTTAAAACAACAAGGTCTAAGCGAGATGCACTCCCGCGATCACTGTCTGCACATGATGGAAACAACACAAGTAACATTCTTGAATTTATCTCCAGTCTGCTCAGAGTATTATGGTTTGGTTTCTTACCATTATACAATGGTTTTTAGGAGAATTGGAGTTTCGGAGGATGAGCAGTCGGAGCAATAAAAATGGCCTCAATAGAAATGACGACGCCATCCTGGATTCCACAAATGGTGTTGCTCCAAAAAGAGGGATGATTCTTCCATTCACACCCCTGGCCATGTCCTTTGATGAAGTGAAATATTTCGTCGACATGCCTCCAGTAAGAATCAATTCAATACCCTTACTTAGTTTCAATTCATTGCTGTTTTTCAGAGTTTAGATTTTGTGAAATTTACCAATTTTAACATCAGGAAATGAGAGAGCAAGGTGTGACAGAAGATAGGCTGCAATTACTGCGCGGAGTAACAGGTGCATTTAGGCCTGGTGTGCTGACAGCACTGATGGGAGTGAGTGGAGCAGGAAAGACAACCTTAATGGATGTTCTAGCTGGGCGAAAAACCGGGGGCTACATTGAAGGGGACATCAGAATATCAGGATTCCCAAAGAAGCAAGAAACTTTTGCTAGAGTGTCTGGTTACTGTGAACAGAACGATATCCACTCGCCTCAGGTCACTGTTCGTGAATCTTTGATATACTCAGCTTTCCTCCGCCTGCCTAAGGAAGTCAACAAAGACGACAAGATGGTACGAGAACGAATCTAGTACTCATGCATCAAACAAACTAGGACAATGTAGGACATATTTATCAGACAATTAATGATGTCTGTTGCAGGTTTTTGTAGAGGAAGTGATGGATCTGGTTGAGCTAGACAACCTTAAAGACGCGATTGTGGGGATGCCAGGAGTCTCGGGTTTGTCAACAGAGCAACGAAAACGACTGACAATAGCAGTTGAGCTTGTTGCCAATCCTTCAATCATATTCATGGATGAGCCAACTTCTGGGCTGGATGCAAGAGCTGCAGCTATTGTCATGAGAACTGTCAGAAACACAGTTGACACAGGAAGAACTGTTGTCTGCACAATTCACCAGCCTAGCATCGACATCTTTGAAGCATTCGATGAGGTAAACAAACATTTCATTTCCCCAATCAATCAAAATACCATTCCCATAACTTCAACCCTTCTTCATATGTGTTTTGTTTTGTGCACCAGCTGCTTCTAATGAAGAGAGGAGGTCAAGTGATCTATGCAGGACCATTAGGGCGCCATTCTCATAAAATTGTCGAGTACTTTGAGGTACTTAGTTGTAGTTGCATTAGCAGCCCGCTTACCAGCTTCTCGAGCACTTTCTAATCATATTTTGAGATATAATGCAGGCCATTCAAGGAGTCCCAAAAATTAAAGAGAAATACAATCCAGCAACTTGGATGTTAGAAGTGAGCTCAGTTTCCACAGAGATCAGACTTGGATTGGATTTCGCGGAACACTACAAAACAACAGCTTTATACCAGTGAGTAGTATATATATAAAACTAGAAATAGTTAGGCATTTGATGTGGGAAATGTAACGATTTGCATTTGCAGGCGAAATAAGGCGTTGGTTAAGGAACTGAGCACGCCTCCTCCCGGGGCAAACGACTTATATTTTGATACTCAACATTCTCAGTCGAGTTGGGGCCAATTCAAGTCATGCTTATGGAAGCAATGGTGGACATATTGGAGGAGTCCAGATTACAATCTTGTAAGATACTTCTTTACTTTAGCTGCAGCACTCATGATTGGCACCATCTTCTGGGACGTTGGAAGCAAAAGGTTTGTCTTTAATCTCGACACAACAACGATCACTAGCTTCAGGAATGAACGAACGAACGAACTCACAGTTCTGTTTGTGCATTATATTTCAGAAACAGCAGTGGAGATCTCATGACAATCATAGGATCTATGTATGCAGCTGTCCTGTTTGTCGGCATCTGCAACTGCTCAACTGTGCAGCCTGTTGTGGCCACCGAAAGAACAGTTTTTTATCGCGAAAAAGCTGCTGGAATGTACTCAGCATTGCCATATGCAATGGCACAGGTAACCAAAACAAACCTTAAACCTTGTTGAGCATATAGCCATTAATGTGCAATCCAACTATCAGCTTAAGCTTTTAGTTGAGATGGAGCACATGCTTCAAATCTTCAATTAACCTTAACTCAGAAACCAAACCTGAAGCCTGTCTGTCTGGTTTTATTTTTTTCAGGTTATCTGTGAAATCCCATATGTATTTTTCCAAACTACATACTACACACTCTTAGTGTATGCCATGATAGGCTTCGAATGGACAGCAGCCAAGTTCTTCTGGTTCTTCTTCGTCACCTTCTTCTCCTTCCTCTACTTCACATACTATGGAATGATGACTGTTTCCATCACTCCAAACCACCAAGTTGCAGCCATTTTCGCTGCAGCATTCTACGCCCTCTTCAATCTCTTCTCCGGCTTCTTTATCCCCAGACCAGTAAGTTACTTAACCTTAATCTCCTCACAAACATTAACCCACCTAGCTTTCTGACATTTTCCCTGCTTTATTTTTTCAGAGGATTCCTAAATGGTGGATATGGTACTACTGGATTTGCCCCGTGGCATGGACCGTATATGGCTGCATTGTGTCTCAATACGGTGATGTAGAAACCACGATTCGAGATCCAGGGAATTCTACTGGCAACATCAATCCTAAGATCAAAGATTACATCAAAGATCATTTTGGGTATGATCCAGATTTCATGGGACCTGTTGCTGCAGTTCTTGTTGGTTTTGCAGTGTTCTTTGCATTCATGTATGCCTACTGCATCAAAACATTGAACTTCCAGCTTAGATAGATAATAGATTGTAGCTTTAGCTCAAATGGCTTATACTTAATAGCATCATGATGAGGACACCATCTTATATATAGTTTTATAAGAAATTTTGCAAAGTAATCACATCTATAAATGTATTTTGTAAAGTATTGGAATTTAATATTGTTTTGATTCTTCTTGTGGCTCCAAAGCTCTAATGGCTATTTGCCAAACATATAAAACTCACATAATAAATTAGAAATAAAATAAAATTTAAAAAATGATTCCATATATTCTTTTGGTGATGATATTCTGTAAAGTGATAAAAACAATATTAGCATAATGTGCTACTGACATCATAGCATCATTGAACTTAGACAGTAGATAATTGCCGCGATCGGATCTGTAAATATAATGTTTTTTTTTTTAAAAAAAAAAGGTTAATTTGACCTATAAATTTAGTTGTAGACAGTATTTGAGAGAAGATATCAAAGTTTAAAATTTGACGAAAGGTGTTTAATTTTTGTTTAAACGTATAATTTAAGAAATATGGCGAAAGAGTTAAGAAACTGATATGGGAAAACGAAGCGTTACAAAATAGTTTGTACCGACTAAAAATTACTAATGTTTGGAGCAAGTGAAGCTTCCTACTTCCATGGCAGCATTGAAACTGATAAAAGGCAGATCGAGGATCAAGAGGGAGAGAAAGAAAGAGAGAGAGAGAGGGAGTTGGAGAGACATACACACGGAAAACAGTTCTAAGTAAAAGCTCCTCTCTTTATCCTTTCTTTCAAGTTTCAACACCAAAAGATTCCGTCTTTCTACAATCTCTGCCGCAATGTTTGCGTTGTGTGGAACCAATTTTACGGTAATCTTGAACCAACCCCTTTTGTATGCTCAAGCTTGCATAACATCCATTTCCTGGCCTTTTAAAAAAGAACTGTTCTTTGGGAAGAAAGTTTGATTATTTTGAAGTTTTCTTTGTTTCTTCCCTGCAGAACAATTCCTTTTCTGGGGTGTCGAGATGCTTGGCTCAGTCAAAACCACAGAGAATAGTTTTTGCTCCAGTGGTGGTGGCTGCCGCCAGATCAAACGCCAAACCCAGTGACCGAAATGCCAGCTTTATTGCCGGGACTGCTCTGAAAGAGACGGTGGAGATTGCTCCGGCTGTAAAGGAGCCCAAATCCACCGTCATTGGTGGAGTTGGGGATCTCTACTGCGAGGAAAATGTCAATGAGGAGCATACCATCACCCCCTCGGCCTTCTCTGTTGCTAGGTAAGAGTATGTAGTCTTTTTTTTTTTTTTTTTTAATGCTTCGATGATTAGTCTTTGATCACAAATGTTTTGTTGTTATGTCCAATTTTTGTTAGTAAACAACTGTTCTTCATTTGCGTTATGACTGATTTGTTATTAGTACCACTTTTATCAAAGTACTATGTTGTTTATAAATGGATGACCTTTGAACCTTGCAACTAAATTTGATCTAGTACCTTGGAAAACTAATGACTTTCTCTGTCCTCAATTTCAAAGGTTCTGGTCAAAGTGGTTAGATTTTCTGCAAGTTATCCAACATTAAACAAATAAATGTTTTCTGCCTCAACACTAAACAGTAATGATTGTTTCTTTTTCTTTTTCTGCTGCAGTGGATATTCATTGTTGCGTGATCCACGCTACAATAAAGGTCTTGCTTTCAATGAGAAAGAAAGGGATGCACACTATTTATGCGGTCTTCTTCCTCCCGTGGTTGTTGATCAGGAGCTTCAGGTTATTTGAACTTGTCACTTCTCTCTTAGATCGTACCCTTGCCTATGTTCTTTAGAACTTTTTCTATCTCTCCAGGTAAAAAATGTTATGCACAATCTCCGGCAGTATGAAGTACCATTGCAGAAGTACATGGCCATTACTGATCTCCAGGTGGTGGCAATGTTAAGTTTTATCTCCAAATATATCACTTTATAATATTTAATATGTGGTAATAATTTGTGGTTTTTAAGTATGAGGAATATACTTTTACATTTTGCAAATGATTCTTATAACAGTTCCATTATTACAAGTCCCTACTTCCCATTTGCTACTCTCGAGTGTATAAATATTTATTGGTATTAATTGTTTTCAGGAGAGGAATGAAAATCTATTTTACAAGGTTGTTATCGACAATGTTGAGGAGCTGCTTCCTATCATCTATACTCCAACTGTGGGTGAAGCATGCCAAAAGTATGGAAGCATCTTTAGGCACCCTCAGGGTCTTTTCATTAGCTTGAAAGACAAGTACGTACTACGTATCTTGCAAATTAGCAGTACATAGTTTTTTTTTTTTTTTTTTTTTTTTAATAATTATGTCGAACCTGACTGCTAATGGTGGGAGTATTTTGCAGGGGAAGGGTTCTTGAGGTACTGAAGAACTGGCCTGAGAAGAAGGTTCAGGTTATTGTTGTGACCGATGGGGAAAGAATTTTGGGCCTTGGTGACCTCGGTTGCCAGGTATGTTGTATATGAGCTTATTTGTTTCTTGAATCTAATAATTACTCCAACTATCTTCTACTATGTGTTATTTTAAAGACTCAAATGATAAGATTCTTATAGTTACATCCATTTACCCTAGGGAATGGGGATACCTGTCGGGAAACTCTCATTGTATACTGCTCTTGGTGGTGTTCATCCTTCAGCTGTAAGTTTCTCTAAGACAAACATTTATGTCATATTCTTTCCTTCTCTTACAAACACTTAAAGTTACTTTCTTTTCTAGATTGTTAATATGTACTTTTTCTTGTTGAGATAAAAGCAGTAAACCTGTAGATTCATTCATTTATTTGCCTGCATTTTTTAGTGTTTGCCTGTAACCATTGATGTCGGAACCAACAATGAGAAGTTGTTGAAAGATGAATTTTATATTGGGCTCAGGCAAAGGAGAGCAACTGGACAGGTTAACAGTCTGAACTTTTATGTCCTTATTCTCGTTTTACTCAAAGTTTCGAAAAGTTTGTCTTTCTTCCACATACTTGGACTAGATGTTTATCTTTTGTGAATGCAGGAATATGCTGAACTTCTTGATGAATTCATGACTGCTGTCAAACAAATTTATGGGGAGAAAGTGCTCGTTCAGGTATTTTGGTTTACTAATTGTTGTAATAAATGTGAATATATTCCATATTATTTGTACTAACTTTTGCTTCCTTTACGTAGTTCGAAGATTTTGCAAACCATAATGCATTTGATCTACTCGATAAGTACAGCCCTAGTCACCTTGTTTTCAATGATGATATACAGGTAACCCGAGGTGTTCTTTTAGTGAGAGGTTAGGTATAGTTTTGACTTACTAGTATCGATGTGTTATAACCCGTCATTCTTGATTCTGTTTCAGGGAACTGCATCTGTCGTCCTTGCAGGGCTATTGGCTGCACTTAAGAAACTCGGGGGAACCTTAGCCGAACAAACATTCTTGTTCCTTGGTGCCGGAGAGGTTTTTCTATCGCCTCTTTTACATGTTCTCTTCTTCTTTGATTTAATACTGTTTTTGTCGTGTTAATAATCCAGGCTGGCACTGGCATAGCAGAACTTATAGCTCTTGAAATGTCAAAACAGGTAGAAACCTAAGTACGTTTTGGATTTTTTAAAAAAAAACAACCTTGAAATTATGAATAAATATAATGTCTTTATGTTTGGCTTGTTACTTGTAGACTGGAGCTCCACTAGATGAAACGAGGAAGAAAATTTGGTTGGTGGACTCCAAGGTAGTTCATTTCTTGGTATAAATTTTTGGGTTTCTATTCAAATTAATTGTCTTCCATGAAGCTGAATCCTATTCATCGATGTTCTAGGGATTGATTGTTAGGTCTCGGATGGAGATACTTCAGCAGTTTAAAAGGCCTTGGGCCCATGAACATGAACCTGTAAAGGACCTAGTAAATGCGGTTAATGTTAGTTCGAGAGTCCTTTCCCCTATAACCTCTTTCTCGACACATGGTATCATTATTCTAATTAGGTTTACTTCTCTAGGTTATCAAGCCAACGGTCTTGATTGGATCTTCTGGAGTTGGAAGAACATTTACAAAAGAAGTTGTTGGAGCAATGGCATCGATCAACGAGGTTTATTCTTGTATTCATTTTTAAAAAATAATTCCCGGTTGAGTAAATTACTAAATTTCCAATTTTACAATTGGTCTGCTTTGCAGCAACCCGTTATTTTCGCCCTCTCAAACCCAACATCACAGTCAGAGTGTACTGCAGAAGAGGCTTATACCTGGAGTGAGGTTGCATTTTTATTAGGATCTTCTTTTTCGATTTTTGTTACATAGTGTTATTACGGAGTATGTTTTTCTTTCAGGGTCGAGCAATTTTTGCCAGTGGTAGCCCATTCCCGCCATTTGAATACAAGGGAACGGTCTTTGTGTCTGGACAGGTAACAAATGAAACGATATTCTTTCCATTATTAATGATTACACAGATCTTGGACTAAATTTCGTTGCTTTATCATCATGTAGTCAAATAATGCGTATATTTTCCCTGGATTTGGTTTGGGCCTGATAATTTCTGGTGCAATTCGTGTCCATGATGATATGCTTCTTGCTGCTTGTAAGTTTCTGATGTTTACTAGGAACGAACTTGTCTTAATCTACTAACGCCTCTTTTGTCGCTTTAAACAGCTGAAGCTCTAGCTGCAGAGGTTACGTGGGAGGACTTTGAGAAAGGGCTCATGTACCCACCGTTTTCCAACATAAGAAAGATTTCTGCCCGAATTGCTGCCAAAGTAGCAGCCAAAGCATACGAACTTGGTACTACCCTTTATCTTTTTAAAATGATATCTCCCCGACTCCCCTTGCTAGATTCATGCCAATATGTGTGTAATTGAATGTGGTTTATTTGTTTTTATCGAAGGCTTGGCTACTCATCGACCACAGCCAGAAAACCTGGAAGCGTTTGCTGAGAGCTGCATGTACAGCCCCTCTTATCATAGCTATCGCTGATTTGAAGGAAGATTTGTCAAGCCTTTTTGGCGTCTATTTAGTCAAAATGGTGTCTTTTTTGTTTGAGGAAATTTTTTTGAATGTTCAATCCTTATTGGCAACACAAACCACAAGGAGGAGGATCAGTAAGACTGCAAAATGTTCAATGATTTGACACTATCAAATTCAACTAAAGTTTCTCAAGAACATAGGTTTTGTAAACCTCATTTGTTGTAAATATTCTCCGAAATGTCATGTCAATCAAATAACCTTTGTGTTCTTATCTGCCATTGGAATGAAATTTCATCTTTCTTGAAAAACATTCTTTTTAGCAGGTTTGGTACATTTTGGAATTCTTGATTCCTTTCTTGAGTTCTGTATGATGATTTGGAATCATAGTTTTCTTTTTTGAGAATTATCATTACAAATTCATGTAAAGACCCTAGCTGTTCATCAAGATGGAGAACACTATATACAATATTGCCCTTTTCACAGACCCTAAGCTACATTAGAGCAGAGGTAATTACACCAGAACAAGAAAGGATAACAGGGAAAAGTGAATATGAGACCTACCAGGTACACTTAAACTGCTTTGAGTGGAGAAGCTTCACCCTTGACAATTTCTGAGCTGCTATGAACTGGGGTGCTGGCATGAAATGCCGACTGTCTTGATGGTTCTCCGGTCAGCTTAAGAGAAAGCGGGGAGGGTTCTATTTGGCAAGAAATGCTTTCGCCTAGGCTCAGCTGGGACATTCCCACTAGTTCATCTACGTTGACCAGTTCTTTAGGGACTACTGGTATAGGTTTCAGGATCTGATGGTGGGAGGTATCTCCTCCTGTATCTTCATCCAGAGGAACAGCGTTTGATGACCATAATGGAAATGAAATGGGGATGTAAGTCGGGATGAATGTGGGGAACACCCGAGGAGCTTCCAATGAGGGTGTCACGTTTTCTTCTGTGTTTTCGACAGGCTCACTTGGGGTGGTTTCCATCGATTCAAATCCTGGCTTGAGAGAGAGCTGTAAAGAAGGTAACGAATGTGCACGATCAGTTTCCACCGCCTCTGTCTCTGCCTCTGCCTCTGCCTCGTCAGTTTCTAACGCTCGAGGGGGGAGCATAAACTGTTCTTCTGGAAATGGTCGGGATTCTGTAGCCTGTACAGACATCATTAAAAACCAGGACAAAATCATCAAACAAAACTGATTCCTTACACAACAGAAAACGGGACAACATATTTGGTGTTAAGGAGAGGCAGACTCCAATCTTTGACATATATGACAACTACAAAGACCTTATTTTGAGAAGACTAACCATATCCGCAACCATGTCAAAGAGGCTAGACCTTCTCTTTCTCCTGGTAACGTTACTCTGGCGGATAAAATACTTTTGGGCATGGCTTGCTACCTGAGTGGGCGTTCTTGAAGTTACATAGTTCCTTGATATACCCCGCCAATCCCCTTTGCCCAGCTTCTGCAGACCAAGTAGGAAAAGCCGGTGCTCTTCCTCTGTCCACGGAACACCTGCAAATAAAACCATACATCCACAAGTAATTACCCCGAGCTCTCCAACCAGTGGTTTAAGGTAACATGTTCATTGAATCTTTTGTGTTTGATGCTTTTACTATACACTGTTTATAACAAGCCAAGGTTGTCAATGGCTAAAAACAGAACCCTCGAGATCAACTACAAGCTCCTTAAACTACTCTCCACTTGCACTAAACACTCAGGCCGACAGGATTGTGGAGGCGGCCCATTATGTGGAAGAACCAGTGTCTGGTGCCCAGAAAAAGCCACCCCAAAAGAAGGTGAAACTCCCACACGGCAACTGTGAGGGCTCGATCCTTCATTTTTGTCCATAATTTGACACTATAAACCAACCGAGCCACCCGTGCTATTCATTTACCATATTTTGACCTAAATGTGTTGTGTGTAGGAATGAGAAGAAGAAGAAATGAACAGCCTGTACTTACCTAATACAGTAACAGAATGAACCCATCTATGATCAATTGCAAAATCAAGAATACATACACAGTCAAGTAAATGACAGTAGCCAACATAGAAGCAGCAAGAACTGAAGCTAAGAAACGCCAAGACCACCTTAAATTATAGAGATGAAAATAGAACATCCAATTGTTTGCAGAAATCAGATTTAATGGGAAGTCTGCAATGATATGATACGAAGAAACTACCCGATAGGATAGGGAAAATCACTAGAGAAGTAAAGACTAAAAAACCTTTCTTTCTTTCAGCTCGACGATTGGTGGAACAAGAAGCGTGGGTTGGATCATCGGAGGCATACCCGTCGGACAAGTGCACCGGTTCACGGAAAGCATCCGAGGACGGCGAGCCCGGGTTGGGAGACGCGGCGGCGGACGAGGACGAATGGTAGAGGGCGGAGAGGTTCCCCATGCTAGCACTCTTCTTCATGATCGACCCCCCATCCGTAAGTCTCACCCCGAAGAGCTTCACTCCTACGCCGCCGCCGCCGCCAGCGGCGGCGCCACCCCTCGCCGGGCACGTCCTTGAGTTGTGACCGTTGTTGCTGCAATGAGAGCAGCGTCGAGGCATCGACCCAGATATCCAAATCAGCCGATTTTCAAGAAAAGATTCCTACTTTCGTAGTTACAAGTTACAACCTACGACGGGTGGTATTATCGGATAGTATATGTGTGGACAAATTTGTTTGCGTAGGTCGCTTTGCCGGGGAAGTGGGGGTGGACTGCGGAGTTTGTGGAGGGGAAAAGACTAAAGACTATTGAGAAATTGCAAGCAAGGTGCATATTGAATTCGGATAAATGTAAAGATATGTGCAGTGTGCAGTAGGAGAACAGTGAATTTGGATATAGATTTCCAGATTGAGGTCTGCATTTTTATTTTTAGCATAATTACGAGAATTCGGAGAACAAGGTTGTCTTGTTTGTTGGATTCGCCCATCCACCTCAATTCACTGTTCTCGCCCTAATCAGATAGCTCCTGCTTTTTTGTTTGTCGGCCTTTTGTAATTTGCCGCTGTCTCTTTCTTCACTTTCACACTATTTCCCATTCCCTATATATATATTATCAATTTTGTTTTTATGACGGAAAATACTTGTAGCCATAAGCCCATAACTCAAGTAAAAAGGTAAATTATATTAACAAGGTTTTATGTGATGAGTTTAAATGCTTGAGATGGTGTTTTGGTAATAGTAAAAATTAAATTTGTGATTTTTTAACATGATAATTTTGTTCCATTTTCTTGGCTCTTTTTTTGGGGGCTAAAAAATGTATTTTTATTTGTTTGTGTGTATTGGTTCATAGTGTATAAATATAACAATAGATAATTATTAATTGTATGGAGACTATAGTATTTGAGTATGATTGATAATCCAATATTATAAATCATTTGTCTAATATCTTAAGAAGGGTCAAGAACTTATTCGTTTAATTCATCAAAGATAAAGATAAACAATGACCGGACACGCTTTGCATCATCTAAGGAAAAAATGTATAATACACGAATATTGTGTGTAGGGATAAACTTACAACATTATAATCATGCAGTGTCAGCTCAACGTTAACGGTGTATAAATAGTGAGATTTGCACATTCTCCATACATGTAATCATTATCAAATATAATAAAACTATCTCAAAATACTAACTATACTAGAATATGCTTAGGCTTTAAGCATCATTATTGAGTACATATTTTATTTTTCATTTACTCTTCGGACCCTTAGATTCTCAAGCTTAAATATCTTTGATACCAGATTAGAGAATAGTTTGCATTGATTGAATGAATTGATTGTTACACAGAGATACAATAGACTTAGATGACTAGCATAACTATCCCTATACATTACCTAGCAGTTACTGACTAAATCAAAGTCTAACTAAACTAATATAATGTTACACTTTAATAATAATAACACGGAGTACGAAGTATTATTAAATAATACTACTCTCATCGTAGGTCCAAAACCTAACAAACTGAGTCTTGTTATATCTATTTTTAAAATTATCTTAGTGTGACAATAATAAATAAGCTTTGAACCTTACACCTCCCACTTAAGGGAACAACCCAATACCAGTGGACTACAAATCACTTGATTATTCCGACTATATTTAATTTATCGTGGGGTTTATATAATGAGACTTAAAATAAATATAAATTTATAATGTCAATACCTTAATTTAGTTTTGAGTTATTATACAAAAATGAGAATTTATCTATAATTACTCAAAGATTTCCCTGGTCATTAAAAAATATATATAAATTTATAATTTAAGGGAAGAAAAAAGGGAAATCTATGGCTGCTGCTTTACTTATGAGGGCATCTCTTCATCGTCGTCGTTATCCGCTGCTTAAACTATCTGCTCGCTTTTCCCAGCCGTAAACTGTAAAAAGTCGTCTCAGTCTCATATTTAATACTACACCTGCATATATATACGTATACAGACGATATATGTATATCTCGTGAATTTCGTCTTTTCCGACTTGAGGTTTCATTTGTGTTTTCTGCTCTGAATCTCAAAGTATTTGAAATTTTCGATTGCTTTCGCGGTGTTGATCTAGCTAAAGCTCCGATTTCGCTTCCAGATTTGTCGAGGGTTTGCTCGTTGATGCAGTGCAGATGTTCGTGTAGGGAAGGGAAGTGGTGAGGTGAAAGATTGGGATTGCAAGTTGAATAGAAGGTAAATTTGATGGTTTTCTCTCTCCTAGGGTATTAGTGTGTGCTTTGTGGGAAACTTTGGTGGATTAGTGTATAGCTAGGGCTGGCGGTGGTGATGGATTCTTATAGGCCATTCCAGCCCCCGTCGCAACCCGCGTTTGCTCCTCCCCCACCGCCGAATCAGAATCCTCTGCAACCTCCCCCGCCAGCATCCACCGCAGGGCAGCCGCGAGGGAATCAGCCATCTCAGAATTGGGGATACGGTAATTATCAACATGCACCGCCGCATTTTAGCGGCCCTCTTCCGCCGAGGAATCATGTTCCGCTGCCGCCACCCCAGTCTCATCAGTATCCGCCACCCCCGCCTCCGCCGGATTCTTCGTACCCTCCTCCACCACCGCCACCGCAAGCTGCTCCCCCAGCTCCAGTGTATTATCCTTCTTCTCAATACTCGCAATACAACCAACACCAGCATTTACAACCGCCACCCCCACCTCCTCCACCTTCTTCTCCTCCCCCAAATTCAGCAATTCCTCCTCCTCCGCCACCTTCTTCACCCCCACCACCCCCTTCATCAGCCCCCCCAGCGCATCCAAGTAATGAAAGCAGGCCTGCCGCTGAGAAAGCAGCTCCCAAGGATGGAAGGGATTCTGGGTGGCGAGAATCAGGGCATGGGAATCACGGGATACCCTCTAAGCAGAAACCTCCTGTTCCTCCCATGCCAGTGAAGAAACCGAATGCTCCTTCTGGAAGAGTTGAGACAGAGGAAGAGAGGAGGTTGCGGAAGAAGAGAGAGTATGAGAAACAAAGGCATGAAGAGAAACATAGGCATCATTTAAAAGAATCCCAGAACAAGGTGCTGCAGAAGACCCAAATGTTAACTTCTGGAGTGAAGGGTCATGGTTCCATTAGTGCATCACACATGGCCGACAGGAGAACTGCTCCTTTGTTAAGTGGGGAGAGAACTGAAAATCGGTTGAAGAAGCCAACAACATTTCTTTGCAAGCTGAAGTGAGTATGTTGATATGTTAAATTTCAGATATTTCATTTCAATGTTGCTTGGTGTTTTAAATGCAAGCCAGTCTTAGCACATCATCATAATTTGTCTCCTGGAGATTGTTCTGTTGCCATATTAATATACTTTAAGCATATGAATATAACTGTTCTCTAGCAAATAATTAGGCTTGGGTTCGGACAATCAATTTTATCTTTCCTCTGATGCTCAGTTACTAATTCATGTTCTGTTGAAGGAACTATTGTATCTTTCATTCCAATCTTATGTTCATACTTCAATTAGTGTTAAATACTTTCTGTGGTAGCACTGGTGACTGATCTGGAATTGAGGTAAATCAGAAAAAAAGAAAGAATGATAGAGTAGCATGTTTGACATGTGTGCTAAACGGTTTGAAACTTGTTTTTGAATAGGCATCTGAATACTATTAACTGCTCTCATTATTTGTTGTTGATGGTGCCTAACACAATCTGTATTTTTGTCTGCAGGTTCCGAAATGAATTGCCAGATCCAACAGCACAGCCAAAGCTTATGTCTTTAAGAAGAGACAAAGATAGGTAAGCAATTTTTGGTGTCTCTTCATACTGCAGGTTTGCTTGTGTTCTTTAGATATGGGATATTGCCTCTATTGGACATTGTATGCTACAATATTTTCATCTATCTGTCCATATTTTTGTCTTGACTCGTATCTATAGTGCTGTGAGGTATCTGAAAATACTACTATGCTTATACTCTGCATTTTCATCCTAGTGTGGATCTTAGTGATGTGATCTTTAGTTGTCTTCTCCCTGAATGCTTTAGCTTTTCATAACTACAGGCTGTAGTTGCATTCTTTTCATCTGCTCTTTTAGGTAAGAAATTTATGTTTGCAGATTTACCAAATACACGATCACTTCATTAGAGAAAATGCACAAGCCTCAACTATATGTTGAACCAGATCTCGGAATCCCTCTTGACCTGCTTGATCTCAGTGTATATAAGTATGTTTCTTCTCCTTCATACTTCTCAAACAGCTTGTTTTTGAAGTAAAATAAATCTAATTTCCACTAATTGCTATTTTGGTAGCCCCCCCAAGGGTGAAAGGACTCCCCTGGATCTCGAGGATGAGGCCTTGTTGCGTGATGATGATCCTGTAACCCCTATCAAGAAAGATGGCATTAAAAGGAAAGAGAGGCCAACTGACAAGGGTGTTTCTTGGCTAGTCAAAACACAATATATATCTTCTCTAAGCTTGGATTCAACAAAACAGGTTTCTGCAAATTCTGCTGTTATTGGGCAGTTCTCCATAAATAGTGCCAAAACTTTTACTTATTTGGTTTTCAATGCTATATGTAGTCTCTGACTGAAAAGCAAGCGAAGGAATTACGAGAAAATAAAGGAGGCCACAACATTTTAGAGAACCTTAATAACAGGTTGCTTCCAATAATTTTGTTTTCTGTGTCAATATGGCAAAAGAGATAAACAGACCTTAACATTTTTTTTTTAACCAAATACCCACTATATGTTTTCAGGGATAGACAAATACAAGAAATTAAGGCTTCTTTTGAGGCATGCAAGTCACGACCTGTTCATGCAACCAATCCAAGATTGCAGCCTCTTAAAGTTTTACCCCTTTTCCCAGACTTTGATCGGTAAGTTTCCTTTGTTCTATTAAAATTTGTATTTGCTTGCCTCTACTGCCCTTTAGTAAGTCTCATTCTATTATGCAATCATGTTAGGTTTACTGAGAGATAGATAGATTGACAAGTTAAAACATAAGGAGCAATTAATTATCAGCTGCGTTAAAACAGTTTGCATTGAACATTAGAACTTAGAAATGCATTACCCCCACACCCCCCCCTCCCCCCCACATACACACTAAGGAAAACATAGAACTCTTATATCAAGATTGTAGAGTTCTGATTTTGTTTTGACTGTAACTTGTATCTGAAAAGTTTCGCTTGTTAGTATAGTTTCTTTGGAGCTTTCATGGGTGTAGAAGATTGACCCACATCTCATTCATTTGTGTATTGAGAACCACCATACTTTTTAAATTTTTTGTCATTGATTTTATTGTAATAAAAATTAATTTCCCCTTGTCCAGGTACAAAGACCAGTTCGTGGTTGCTACATTTGATAGTGCTCCTACTGCTGATGCAGAAAACTATAGCAAGTTAGACAAGGCTATTCGAGATAAACATGAATCTCGGGTAATATGCTACTGGTGCTGTATGCGTTTGTCCTTATTTCAGCAAAGCAAGGAAAAAAAAATCTTTTTTCCTTTTGCAAAAAAAGAAGTTGCCGCTTTACCAAAATTTGGATATGACGGCTTCCATATTGGGCACATTTAGAGTATCTTGTAT